GGGGTAGGGCACCCCTGGGTGGAAGCTGCCAGCTAATTGGCTCATGGGATCCGGGACTGATCTGAAGAGTCACGTATGTTGTATGCAAAAGCCAAGGTTCCAAGACAGGAGAAAAGAAAGAAGAGATGAAAAGAATGGTTGAAGGCAGGGCTTCTGGAGCTGCCATGAAGGAGTTTGCTCCCTGGGAAGCCCACAAAGGCTCTTGGGCAAGGGTGGATGCCGAGAGGTGGCTTGCTCAAGCGCACCGACAAGCACTGCGTAGAGTCCCCAAAGGAGAAAACTCTCTGCCTCGGGGTTCACTTGGAGTACCATGTACTTATGCACTTAGACGGCGCTTACTCCACCCTCAGCACTTTTTGAAGCATTAAGTAATTAAAGACAGAGCGCAGCAAACTAAGATTTCCGTGTTAGACCCGAGAGGACAGAACCAAGATAGGATCAAGGCCCTTGAAGGCTACTCCACAGAATCTGCACGGAGGATTATTTCCCTTCCCCCATTTGTAAACAGGGACTGTGTATCTGTGATCTGGCTTCTTGTATGGGGATTGTACTTCACCCTGGCAAGACTGAGTCCTGTGTATCTCTTTCAACTCTTCAGTAGCCCTTTTGAATGGGTCATGGAAAGGGCTTTTACAGCACAGAAATTGGCAAATGCTACTAGACTCCCCCCCTTTCAGTCACTTGCCAGCACATCAACCTAGGGCATGGTGTATTTATGGTGTGCAGTCTAACATATTTAATTAGTGCCCTCAACAAGTATTATAACACCCTCTTTGCCTAAATTGCTAAGGCTAGTTTGTGTAAGATGTTGGGGACAGAGCAATGAGCAAGATTGACAGGAAGCCAACCCTGTCCTCATGGAGTTAACAGTCTAGCGAGTGGAGGGCACGGAAATGTTAATCCCAGAAGTTAATCCAATTAATTTCATTGTAATGGCACAAAGGAACACGGGGTAGAGAAGAGAAGTCGCCCTCTCCGGCTGACCCTGCAGCTGACCCTCTAGTGCTTTTCCACGGGGAAGCGAAGCACAACCGTTTTACTCTTTTCTTCCTATCCGGGCCCCCGGCCCACACGTCTCTATCACAGGTAACTTCGGCGCTGCCGGTGGGTCACAGCTCTGAGGGTTCTCCCACGAAAGGAGAGGCAGCCCAGACCTTAGCTGAGCATGCTCGGCAAAGTCGCCCTCCTCCCCCACACTCGCACCTGGCCAGCCTAGCTCCCTGCCACTCTTCTGCTCCCCAGGACATCGCGGTTTCCATGGGAACCCACACACTTCAAAGGGGAGCGAAGGAGACTGGAGGGGAGGAGGGGGAGTGAAAGCTGGATTAACCTCACCCTCTTGGCCCCGTCTCTGCTCTGCCTCCTAATCCCTCCGTCTCAAGCTGCACCCGACACCTGACCACCGTTCAGCAGCGCGGCAGGTGGGGTGCTGCAGTCCAAGTTACATTTGAACTTCTCTGGAAGAAGGAAACACCAGCGTTGCGGTGGGGGCTGAGAAAACCGAGGTCCATCCAAACCTAAAGCCTCCTACTCCGCAAGACTCCCCTCTTCCTATTCCCTCTCATCATTGCTCCTGGGCCACAAACACAATTACCCGGGATGTGTATCCAATCATGGGATCTGCTTGGATTAGACTGAAATCATTAATCTGAGCCGGAGCTCCTGGTTGCCTTGCTGATTAGCCCAGATGATGCTCTGGTATGATCCAATTAAAGACAAGTTCTGCTCGACCCCTCCCCCAGCTTCCAGATCAGAAGGGAACCAATACATTTCATTAACACATCCTTATACACAAATAAAACCTTGGGGGCACTGGCAGGCTCCCTTCTCTTTGTCACACTGCCCCTCGGCCTGTCAGCAGGGGCTGAATCGGTGGGGGGTGGGTAGCCTGCCCCATCTTCCTCCATCTATAGTCCTAGGAGGGGTCACAGGGAAGATTTCCAAAAAAGTAGCACTAATCTGAACGGGAAGGGTCTTGTTATATTTATTGATATAAAATGTGAACTCCTTGATGTGTTTGGAACAACCAAAACTGCCCCGGGCAGGCAAATCTAATTAAAATTACCGACCCTACTGGAGCCTGGGCATCCAAGCAATGGCTGCTGAGAGAGAGGGTTGCTGGTACTGGTGGGAGAGGTGTGAATGCAGGAGCCACTCTGGGGCTGAGTTTCAAGGCTGGGGAGCTGGGCAATAGTATAAGTGTTAGCTCCAACCTATCCAGCCATGTTTGCCTAGGAGTGCCTTTCCTGAGCCAGAGGGCCACAGCCTACCTTGGGCAAATGCTCAGGGCTTTTGTTGGGTTAGCCCCGGAGAAGAAAAAGGGTGAGCAGGAATAAGTGCTAACTGAAGGAAGTTCTGGGCCTACTTCAAGTGACACGGTGGACAGGTCTTGAGGAGCAGTGGGTCACCTCTCCTGCAGCTTGGCTTGGGTGCAGCGTGAGCCTGGACTCTTGGGAGGGACTTGGAACCCATGGGTGTGATGGCCTTGTGAAGCACAGTTTTGCTTTATGCCAACCATGGTGCCAGGTGCTTACATGGGCTGCCTCATTAACTCTTATTAAATATGCTGCTTGAGTCTCTCATGGACCTGAAGCTCAGTGAGAGGCAGGAGCAAGCCTGAGCTTCCAGAAACTTTTTATGCCTAGCAGATAGCATGATTGGATGCATAATGGTAATTGTGTTTGTGGCCTAGGGGCAGCAATGAGAGCGAGCGGGAGACCAGTGGGGTTGGGGTGGGGGCTTTATGCTTATGTGTGCACTGTCTTCTCAGCACCCCACCTTAGCCTCTCTGATGGTTTCGCCCAAAGAGCACCTATTTTTTTTTAAAAAAAAAAAATGTTATTTTAAGTATATGAAGGCTTTGCCTGAACCACAAAGCCCGAAGAAGACATTGGACCTCCTGGAACTGGAGGTACAGACTTTTGTGAGCTGCCATGTGGGTGCTGAGAATCAATGAGTCTTCTGGAAAAGCAACCAGGGTTTTTGACCCCCGAGCCATCTCTCCAGCCTGCAAAGATCCTCTTAATCAGAGACACTCTCTATGATCCATGCTCACTACACACCCCTTCTGTATGGTTCTGCGAAAAGGCACAGGATGAGCCTCTCACGAGCATATGAATCCCCCAAGACCATGTTGAATCCGGAGGTTTGGGAGGCCCTGAGACACGGCCTTTCTAATCAGGTCTCACTTATTTAATATGCTGCTGCTGGCCCATGGACCACATCTGGAGTAGCAATCTAAATAGAGTGTAAGCCTGCTTTCAGAGGTCCTTTACTTCCTCTTCCTTCTCAGGCTGCTCCTGCTCACAAAGGCACACAAGAGTTACCCAGGCTCACGGACAGGCAGCTGTGAAATCTCTCTTTCCACCTGCAGCTGTTCTGGCCATGGGCTGATCCTGACCCTATAACAGCAAGTTCTGTTTAGCCTGAAAGGGCTAGCCTACACTTTCCTCCAGCGGGTGGAGTCTCTTGCTCAGCCAATAAGACCAGCCACAAACAATGGCTCCCAAAGGAAATCTGCCCAGTTGTTGCTCTGAGTACACAGCGGTGCCTTCTTATTTGCATATCTATTGGGTCCTGGGGTGACAAGCACTTGTGTTTACCTTCCTACCTCACCCTCTTTCCCAGGAGTCCAACACAGTGCCCGCAATATTAATAGCAATGATTCAGTAGGAGAGTATGAGGGAGGGAGGGAGGGAGGGAGGGAGAGAGGACACCAAGGGAGGCCCCTTTGTCCTCCCTGAGAGCTACCAACACCAGTTACTGGAAACAGATTCCAGAATTCTCTTGGCAGAGCTCTGAATCCACAGGCAGTGGGCCTGGCTTGTGCACTGCAGAAGAAGGGACCAGGTACTGCTTTATTTTTCTGCAAGACCTAGGTGTTGGCATTGGAAGCAATCAGCTTATCTGAGCAACTAAAAATAATGCTGCTATAATGATAATAACATCACTAATTGCTACCATTATCATAAAGGCATTGTCTTTGGGGTGTAGGGAAAGAAAGGAATCAATCTTCCTATTCATTTGTCTTCCTGTTTGCCTGTCTGGGGTGCATCATTCCCCGTGTTACTTGCATTAGCTGTGATGTATCCTGCCAGGGTATGTTGCACTTGCTGGTGCATGGGAACATGCGAACTTGCAGAGGTGAGTGCAAGTCAGAGTCCAGCCTCAACACCAAGTGCAGTCTTGGGCTCCTTTCCTTTGTACCGTGGGATCCTCATGAACGAATGACAATAAAATCTCATTCAGGCCTGTTTTTAGATAACTACACCTTCTCCTCCAACCACACACACTAGAACTAGAGTTCATTAAGAGTATTTCCCTGAGCTTCACCACCTTTTCATTCAGGATACTGCCCTGGGTACAAGCAGAATGAGAGGAACAAGCTACCTGTTCTCAGCAAGCTCTCATTTCAGGGAAGTGCCAGGACCCACACAGTCACATACAATGTCCATTGCAGGGCAACATGGATTGGAGTCAGTCCGAGGAACAGCTGCATCAAGTTCAGTGCTGACAAAGACAACTCAGATCCCTCTTGTTGTTGACTGACCAACTGATTCAACCTGTCTGGACCTGCAGCCGAGGACTATGTGTTTTAATAAGCTCTCCCTGTCTGCATACACACAGTTTGTTCCCTACCAAGTTGTAGACGGTGCAATTAGATGCCTGGCGAGCTTGTTGGAGTGAAGGCAACGAGAAACATGGCGAAGAAAGGGTTTGGTTAACTGAACCAAGGGTTTCTGATGTTCATTAGGGTCCATCTTCCCACTTGAGATGGTAAGGGCGTCCTCATGGCTGACACTGTTCAGCCTTTCCTATCTCCCACAGATACTTCATGCAAGCTAAAGCAAACCCACAGTGGCCAGCTGGGGGCGGGGTAAGTGGATTCTGAATTGAGGGATGCTCAGGTAAGGCGCTGCTGGCCATCACTGTTGATGAGCCTACACTCTGTACCCTCTGATTTGCGTCTCTCAGCCAAAACCGGCTGGAGAGTCCCCTACCTGTACACAGCTCGCTTGTCAGCCTCCAGCTGGGCCTGAGGATCGATGGGGGCACTGGGCACAGGCGTGCTGGCAGTAGCTGAGGGTGCTGAGATGTGGACAGGCTGGGCCTTGGAAGGTGGCTGGGTAGTTGCTGTCATCTGCAGAGAGAAGAAAGAGGAAGGCAGATTAGATGGAATGAGAGGTCTTCCTTGGTCTGTGCTGTGCCCAGAAGGGAGAATGTGGGCAAGAGAGCTGCACCTATGCAATGCATTTGCTACAGCGGGCAGTAATGCAGTCTTCTCATTTATTTACATGAATATATTCTAGAAAACAACTTAGTAACCAGGGAATGGATGCCCAACACACTTTGGAAACAGATAAATTTATTTTATTTTACTGAGACAGGAGCTCTTGTAGCTCAGGCTGCTTTAAAACTTGATCTGCTGCTGACGCTCATCTTGAATGTGTAAGCTGACTGTTTCCACTTCCCAGACGCTGGGATTACAGGTGTAGCTACTGGGTCTTGACCTGAGAAATAGTTCTTACTGTAACTGTTGTTATTGTTGCCCGGAAGTGAAAACAAACAAAAAACCCTCAAAACCACAATGCAATAAACTATTTAAATTATGTTGATCAGTCTTTTGTGTTTGAGTGGTTTTGTGTATGAGTGCATGTATGCTTGTGCACCACGTGCAAGTCTGATGCTCTTAAAGTTCAGACAACGGCAGTGGGTCTCCTGCAACTGGAGTTGTGAGACACCACGTGGGTCCTGGGAACTGAACTCAGGTCCTTTGCAAGAGTGTCAGGTGCTATTAACCACTGAGTCACCTCTCCAGCTCCTGTTTATGGGTCTTCTGAATAGCAATGAGTTTGATAGGATGACTTTAAAAAGCAGGAAAAAGAGGCTGAATATTTTTTCATTTGAGCAGTTTTATTTATTTCTTTTAATACAAGCCGAGAGGTGACCTTCCAGGAGTTTGGATGGCTGCATGAACAGCCCTCCAAATATGGCTTAAATGGCCACTTGAAGATGAGCATTTATGAGCAGTGAACAGACATCCGCTCTTGGTCATAGCATCGACTTTAGAGGAGTGGTTTTCACAGTGGATCACAGGATTTTGAAGGCGTCCCAAGGCTGACAATTCTCCACTAACTATACCAATTCCTTTTAATATAATATATTGAATTTTCTGACTAAATTTTATTTAAAGACATGGTCCAATATCTCTAAAAATTTGAAAAGCATTATAACCGAGTTTAATTCTATTGTTTTCTCTTAGTTATATAGACCCCTAAGATGATGACATGTCAATATATCTGAGGTTCTCCTCCATCCACCTAGCCCTAACACCATGATAGCCTTTGTCACATTATTCTTGGACAGAGCACACGTCTGGCCCGAGTCACCACCACCTGCACTCAACTGACCATATTTAAATAAAAATGAATGAGGTTTGACAAAAAAGCATATGTCAAGAAAAAGAGTCAATGAATAAATAAATGAATATTCTGAATCACAGCTTGGGTGTTCCTAACAGAACCTATGTCCCTGCTTTATAGAAGAAAAAGGGTTTTGTGAACACAGCATATAATTGCTATAGTATATCCCCGGGACATTGGCAGATCTTACTTTTTCCATTTATATCTCTGCCCAGGTGCCAACCTTTAAAGAAACTCTAGGCCCCTCTCCCCACTCCCCTTGCTTTATTCTTCCTGTCTAGTCCTCACTGTGACCACAAGCTATATGTATATTTGATTGTTTTCTCCCCACCCCTCTCTAAAACTCAAGGAGGGCTCATAACAGTTGGATTCCATCACTAGTATTAAATACATGTTGAATCAAGGGATTAATGAATGACAGAGGATAAATAAGACACTGTAAAAAATATGTGTTTTACTATACTGTATCATTTTTGTCAAAAGGAAATATCTCTGCCACTATTGGATACAGGTGCAAATTCGTAGGAGAGGGGGCTTGGCAGAGCGCATAGTGCCTCGAAGCCAGTAGACAATTGCTTGCCCCTTTATTAACCTTTGACCTGAGATAAATCCCTTAAATTGCCTAAGCTCCCGTTTTCTCACCAGTACGCATTTAGAATTGGTGGTCTTTAAAGAGGTGCTACATGGACAAAGAGTGAGGTAAATATTGCACTAGGCTTCCCGCCACAGAAAGAGGACATACGCAGTGAAGATGGTGGTCCTCGCCATCCTGGTCTGGTTCGAGTTCTCTCATTGCTCCCCTCTAATGGGCATGTTTGCAGGTGCTTCCAGAGTCCCTGCCACATACTAGGCACTGCGCTACACTCTGGGCTTGCCGAGAGCAGTGCTGGCAGCTTGGAGAATTCGGCAAGATCATTAAACTGGCAGATGAGGAAAATACAGTGTAATTCTCCCAGGCAACGCATCTCCCACTGTATGTGGTCTGGTGGACAATCGCTTGGACGGGGAACTATACCTCACCGACGATAATTAAAGAACGGATGTCAGCATCTGGGAAGTTTCTAGGCAAAGGCTACATGCTTTCTTTTGGTTATGTATTTTTCTTTTCTTTTTCTTTCTTCCTTTTTAAAAACATTTTTCTTGGTGGTGGAAAGGCTGTCTAAGGAAATGTTCAACAAATTTGTGGGTGATGAGAAACTTGGACCCAACAGGTCTTTACAGATTTGGACAATAGGGTAAGCCTAATAAGATTATTTTTCATCTAATAAGTTTAAATTGAACATTTCTAAAAATAAAACATAATCAATAGTGTACGTGCAGAACAGGGGATACAGGGTTAGTATCAATGCGTTAGCTGATGGCTAGCTCGATAGAGCCAAGGTGTAATGTGTCTGTGAACAAGGAACGAGCAAATCCCAACATGAAGTAATGCTATCTGAGGACGCACTAATGAAAGCCCAGTGCACAGAGTGAGGGGGTTAGGATCCTGTTTCCCCTCGGATTAAATAAATACATGGAGGCACAGTCGGAGGACAGCTGTCCAGTGTTGTGAAGGCACCTGTAGTTCGTTGCATGAAGACTACCTGAAAGACGTTGCAGGTGTAAGCATGGTTTGGTTAGCAGGGGAAATGGGGGAGACGTGAGATTCCCCTCTACATCTGAATGAGGGGATTATGACGGAACATGGAATTGTAGGATGTGCTCTAGCCCTGAAACAAGCAAAACCACAAAGCTCATGCGAGGAGAAAATGTCAGTGCACTGGTACACTCGGCTATGCCCACTAAGTAAACTGTCTGGTGTCCTTGCAGGCATCCAGAGGCCTCTACTAAGATGAGCCCGTAAAGCAGAGAAGTATGAGGGAGGTAGGTACTCCTCTGCCTGACTGAGGAAAGGTGGTAGAAGGCCCTGATGGGATAAAGATGAATGCTCAGAATCAAAATTAAATCAAAATCGGCCATTTGCAGGTCTCCCGAGAGACCCTGAGAGACTGCTAGAGGGTGGGAGAGACCAGAGCAGGTTTGAGAAGGAGGATGGTTCAGAGTTAAGAGTCTCATGGGGGCCGATCCAGCAAAGTCTGCATTTCTTTCAGGTTTGGAGGATGAATGTTTACTTCCAAACAGGTTTCTTTGACTAGCCATTTCCAAAGACCTGGAATTCAAATAGGACCAGTCACTGTTCACAAGGTCAGAGGTTCTACAGGGATATGGGGTAATTTGAAATCCAGTTTAGGGGCAGTAAAGTCTAAAGAGGAGGAGCAGGGGCAGAATCTGGGTGAAGCAGGGCAGGACATGGCTGCTAAATGGCCTCGTGGAAAGGCCTGTGAAAACTGATGGTTGAAGTTTCGGGAATTTCACAAGCTGGTTGACGTCTGGGTGCCTTGAAATTGGCCACGGTGGGAGCACTTATAGCAAGGAAATTGGTGAATGGTGCAAATCAGGGCTGAACCCTCCTCTCCAACCCCTGCCCCAAGAGCCGACTGTTAGTTATTAACCAGCACACCACTAATTCCAGGGTACTCCCCAAGTGACTTCCTTCCACTCTCCTTGGTCTGACATGGGAGGAAACTAGCCTTCATATACATCCACAAGGCCATGCAGTATATTCCCAGCCGGTCTCAAAGCCACGCCAGACCCTGGTATGGCTTTTTCCTTTAAGGTGTTTCCTTTAAGGAAATTCTACCTGGCTCACTGGGGATGAGACAGGGATGGCACTAACACGCAGCACTGTCCTTTTAAAGGTAGAGGAGGTTAGGACGGAGAGGAGGAGGGAGACAGACCTGAGCAGTGCCCTTAGAGCAGTCTAGGGGATCAGAAAAGATGCAGGCAAGTGAAGCAGCCTGAACCGGGCCTGGGGGTGATGACCTCAACCGGTTCTTAGTGACATGTTTTGGCGCAAGTCTCCTGACATTATTGTATTTCCCAACGTGGAAAAAATACCTGCTCCACAGGCTGTGAGGCCTCATTAAGAGGACAAGATCATGTCTAGGAGAAAGGGCAAGATGGTGTTGGCCCAGCTATGTGATTCTTGCCTCTTCTCTTAGCTGTGGGTGAAGACCCCGAGACCGGCACCTGCTTGCTTCCCTTTCTTCGACGTGAGAATTACCAAGCGTCTCTAGGTCCCCAACATGGAAGCAGCATAGCCCAAATCCCAGAGTTCAAGGACTCCTGTCCCAATCATTCTCCCTCGCCGCCTCCTTCTTCCTTCCGGTATGTGCGTGGATGATTTGTTTACATGTATGCTTGTACACCGCATGCATGCCTGGTGTCCACAGAGACCGGAAGAGGATGTCAGATCCTCTGTAACTGCAGTTGCAGACCGTTGTGAGCTGCCATGTGGGTGCGCTGACTCCAGCCTAGCTCCTCTGGAGAGCAACAGGTGCTCTTAGCCTCTGGGCCATCTTTTCTGCTCGCTTGTCCCAGTTCTTAAGTGTTATCTCCTCTCTCCCGCCTCTAAGTGGGGAGAGTTGAGGCTCATGAAATACACGAGTAGATATACCATACCTAGGGGAGCTAAGAGATCTAACTTTTCTAACAGTCTTGTCTTCATGCCAGGATGAGTAGAGAAATGTCTGAATGGATGTAAAAGAGGCCAGAAGGTGCCACTCTGGCTGCCTTCTCTCGTGCTTGCATGACACCTTTCCCATTAAGCGCCTCTCTTCTCCAGTTTTAGGGGGACCAGCCAGTGCCCATCAGCATCTAGGCAAAGAGTAAAAGGTTG